TCAATGTTACTCTCTCAACTTCCATCTCTCTCTCTCTCTCCCCCTCTCTCTCTGTCCCTCACTCCCTCTTTCTCTCTCCAAAAAGCCTCAGGTGAGGATTTTTAAAAGCAAACATTAAATACTGTTAATACAAATGACAAGTTCCCCATACAAAATGTATTATCCTGAGCCACAGCACCCCTCAATTTTCCAACCCAATGTGTTTCTGAGCTACATCTCTTTGCCACCCATTGCAAACTGTCTGGGACTATACGTCGTAATATTGACCAATGCTGGCAAATTCTTCCCCTCAAGTCCCATTCCAATTTGCAGGCTTTAAAAGTTTCCTCTAGGTGAAATCATTTTACTAAAAACATCACAAAACAGCTCATTGGTCCCCTCACATGGGAAACTGTTGTAATGAACACACTGCTGAAAGTCAAAAATCAATCAGAGGGCTGGTATTCAGCCCTCTAAGTACTAAAGTTAAAGGAAAGTTCCCTCAAGTCAGTAGAAGAAAGAGGGAGACACCAAATGCGTGTCCACTGTACATCTTTTTTTTTTTTTGTCCAGTCCCTGGGAGGGGTTTTGCTTCTTATGTTAGTTTGGCATTTGGGGGTTCTGTTACTTCCCTTCCACAGCCTCCAACCTCCCATCCCCTAAGGTGGCAGGGTTACTTGCAGCAGAATTCAAGGGCAATCGTGAGAAAAGCTGTCTGCAGCTCTGTGCCATGCGCTTGTGCCAGCTGCTATTCCAGTCCAGGCAGGCTGGCTCTAGCGCCCACGCTCTCGACCATCACAATGTATTTATTACTCCTTGTGCTGAAAGAAAAGCATTTGCTTAGGCCACAACTGGGTAGTCAAAATGAGATACATTTGGCACGTCACCAGAAAAAGTGTCAAATCTGAATGACTACACTTTCAGTTGCTAAACATAACACGGGGGAAAAGATCAGCAACCTTTCAAAGCTTCTGAGGCACCTGCCAGTTCATGTTCATCACTTCATCACGTTCACGCAGAAGGTGGGTATTGTTAGGAGGGAAGTTGTAGGACACATACAGCGTCTCATAATGTTCTTCTGTAAGTGATGTTTGCTTCAAAGTGGTATTTGACAGGATGCAGCAACGTGATGAGGGAAAAAGGCAGAGAACGCAACACAAGACCAAGGCCATAAGGAACAAGCTACAGTGTGTGTCAAGAACCATTAAACTAATTCCTCACACAAGGGGTTAAAAAAAGAACTATGTGGAGCAGCAGGAAAACATGCCATTCACTACAAAATAACTGGATTTTTGTCTTTAGTTATCCCACCAATAATTGAATCACCTCGGTCAACCCCTTACCTATACCAGGCATGAGTTTACCAAATAGTCAAATGAGTTTAAAGCTTCCCCCTGGAGTGGCAGCTCCCTTTGCTAGTCAGTAACATGCAATTCCTTCTATGCTCATATCCCTCTCCCCTTCTTTCAGTCATGCACCTAACACAGGCTCTCTCAACCTCAGCACTATTGGCATGTTGGCCATCTGGGGGAAAGAATGGGCTGTCTCCTGCACTGTAGGATGTTTAGCAGCCCATCTCTGGCCTCCACTCATCAGATGCCAGTAGCACCCCCCCTTTCTCCTGCAATGGTGACAACCAAGAATGTCTCCAGATATTGCCAAATATCCCCTTTTGGGGTAGGGGTAGGCAAAATCATCCCCAGCTGAGACCCACTGCTCTCATATTTGAATGACAGGTACAGCTCTAGATACTGGGAATTCTGCAATGAGCATGAAACATAAGACGTCTGTCTTCAGGAAGCTACATTCTAATCCCAGGGTGGCTAACGAGATTCATTTTTACTGTAGTCCTCATCTATACCTGTCAAGCAACATTAATGACAAATTAGACATAGGCAGGTAGATTTAACTTGTGTCCTTCTATAGACTAGGGATAATAATAATGTACTTCATTGTTGAAGAAAAAAAGTTTAAAGTGACTAAAAACATCTGGCTTAAATAAAATACTTGAAAATATGTAATACACACCGGAACCTATTGATATATTTTAATTTCATTAAAAAGAAGAACAGCCAGACAACACAGGCCACCTGATGCAAAAAAAAAAACAAACAAAAAAAAAAACATAAAGAATATAGTGCCACTATGATGCATTCTTGCAATATGTAACTGTTCTTGCAATAAATAACCTTAACCTGAATCTAATGAAGTCTATAGATTTAACTAATAGTTTACAGGAAATATGACAGCTAGGGAAACATGTTAAATGATACCATAAGGACACGAAATACAGCCATAACTAAAAAACAGAAAACTCTTTTAAAAAATGACCCAGGTTCACCAAAAAAAAAGCTGGGGGGGAGGGTGAGGGTGCTGAGGGAAGAGAATGTGCAGATTAAAAGCAACTTACTAGGTGTAGCAGTAAATAATGTGGATTTTTTTCAATAGATGGAGTTACACATATTTTGATATATATGCGATTTGATATGTATGCTATTTTATTGTATTGACAACAAGCTTCAGAACTTCATATGTCAAATTTTCTGAAGGTGTTAACATCATAGATATTTTTACGCTTAAAAATGTCAAATTTCATGCCAAAAAAGGAGCATTTGTGGGAAGTTTTAATTCATTACTTTATTTTGAAGATAAGTGCTGCTGAATACTTCGGGAAGCTTATGGTGAACATGGTCCATCTCAAGATACTTGTGAACACTGGTTTAAACGCTTTAAAAGTGATGATTTCGATGTGAAAGACAAAGAACGTCCAGGTCAATAATTACAAGCATTATTGGATGAAGATTCGTGTCAAACTCAAAAACAACTTACAGAAAAGATTAAACATTGCTCAGCAAATAATTTCCTATCGTTTACAAGCAATGGGAAAGATTTTAAAGGAAGGAAAATGGGTGCCACATCAACTGAACGAAAGACAAATGGAAAACCCAAAAGTCATCAGTAAAATGTTGCTTCAAGAGCACGAAAGAAAGTCTTTTTTGCATCGAATTGTGACTGGCGATGAAAAATGGATTTATTTTGAGAATCCCAAATGCACAAAATCATGGGTTGATCAAGGTCAACCATCAACATTGACTGCAAGGCCAAATCGCTTTGGAAAGAGGACAATGCTCTGCGTTTGGTGGAATCAGGAAGGCGTGGTGTATTATGAGCTTCTAAAACCAGGTGAAACTGTTAATACTGATCACTACTGACAACAAATAATCAATTTGAACCACACTTTGATCATGAAACAACCAGAATGTGGCAGAAGACACGGCAAAGTAATTTTGCTTCATGATGACGCACAATCACACACTTCAAAACCAGTTGAAGACACGTTAAAAGATCTTGCCTGGGAAGTATTAACCTACCCACTGTATTCACCAGACCTTGCTCCTTCAGATTACCACTTGTTACGATTGATGGCACATGCACTTTCTGAGAAGCACTTCAAAACATACGAAGTGGAAAATTGGGTCTCTGAATGGTTTGCCTCAAAACAAGGAAAGTTCTATTGGGACAGTATCCACAAATTACCTGAAAGATGGGGGAAATGTGTAGCTAGCGATGGACACTACTTTGAATAAAGCACTTTTGATGTTTCTTTTGAAATTATCGTAATTTCTTTGATTACAAAAATCTGCCATTATTAACCAGTACACCTAGTAAAACACATCAACCAGGTTCTGGTCAAGCAGCTCAGTTGGTTAGCGTGTCATCCGCACACACCAAGGCTATGGATATGGTCGGACACATACAAGAATCAACCAATGAATGCATAAATGAATGAAACAACAAACTGATGTTTCAATGTTTTCTCTCTCTCTCTCTCTCTCTCTCTCTCTCACACCAAGGCTATGGATATGGTCGGACACATACAAGAATCAACCAATGAATGCATAAATGAATGAAACAACAAACTGATGTTTCAATGTTTTCTCTCTCTCTCTCTCTCTCTCTCTCTCTCTCTCCCCCCCCCCTTTCCTTTCTCTCTAAAAAAATCAATAAAAAAAACCCTCACATATCAACCAAGTAAAATGTGTTGGCACTGTTTAAATCCTGTAGTTATTAAAACAAATATAAAAAGGCTTTTTGAAAAAAATTAGTAAAAATGGAACAAAGACTAAGTACTTGATGATATTAATTTTGTTAGATATAATAATTATATCCCTCTTATCTTTTCTATATGGTCTTTTTTAAAGTATATTTTTATTGATTTCAGAGAGGAAGGGAGAAGGAGAGAGAAATATCAATGATGAGAAAAGATCATCAATCTACTGCCTGCTGCAAACCTCCTACTGGGGATCGAGCCCACAACCCAGGCATGACCTGGACTCGAACCTCAATCTCCTGGTTCATGCATCGAAGCTCAACCACTGAGCCACACCAGCGGGGCAGCTGCCAGGACTTTTTTCCCAGTGGCTTATTCACTTCTTTTTGTACTTCTTAGGTATTTACTTTTTTTATCTAACCTTAAGCTTTTTAATCATCAAATTCCTCTACTTCTTAGGGAAAGTTTAATGACTCACGGAGATGATGAACCTTTTTCTAATTCTAATCCTAAATATTTTCTATAATAAATGGAAAATTGAAGTTTATCTTAAAACCTCAATAAGTAAATTTCTTTTCAAATAGCTCTGCATTTGTTTTATCATTTCAGCCTTTAAGATCAAATGGTTTAAATTTAAGCTTTAAAAAAATCATTTTAGCCAGAAAAAAAAAATTCAGTGAATGCAATAGTGTTCTTCCTCTATTGTTTCATAGCATTTACATCCTAAAACTCACATTTACAATAGACATCTATTTCTATACCTCAGTCTGCTCCCTCCAATTCTCTTCTGTTGCAATTTACCTACCTGATGTTCCCCTACTTAACTCACTTTCTAGGACATTATTGGCTACCTCATACATGTTCTCCTTTTAATAAGGTTTAACTTGACTATTAAGATGCAGAGTTGGCATCTGCTGGGTTGGATGTCCACATCCCCCCTGCTTCCCTCCTGGTACTCAGAGGAGCTTACCTCAAATACTGCTTCAGGGCACTCGTTATTGTCTTCACTTCCCAATCACTGGAATTCTCCAGGTCCAAATCATTGCAGGTTTTTACATCTAGTGAGCAAGCAAAAAAGAAAAAATAATTAAAACTTTGAACATTCAAAGGCCCTCTTGACTGGCTCACAAAGCTTTCATTTATAAGTGGCCAAACCACAAATAATTAATTCTGTGGTTTCCTATAAAAACATTATATACCATTTCTTATAATACTGTAAGCCATGACCTAGCATTAGACATTTCTAACACTTCAGAAAATCTGTCGTGGAGATCAAAATAAGAGGATCGGGATTGGACCGAGAGTAGGAAAGAACTGGACATAGTATAGCATTTCAACAGTGACCACTGCAAAGCATGGATAGCTGTTGTTATTATTATGATCAATATTATTATCATTATTCAAGCTGGGACTCGGTAGCCATGGCTTAGAGAATGGGGCATTTGCAGTGTCTGTACACTTTTGGTTGCTCAGGTGGCACTATAGCTGTCACACTGCATTAGGACAGGAAACAGGCAGTGTTGTTAATGGCAAGATGACTATTAGAATAGCGAAGTCAGTGGAATGAAAGGATGAGTTTGGTCCTACATGTCTAAGATTTGTACTCATCGTATCATATTTCTGAAAATTAATACATGATCAGTCAAAATAGAAATATGATGACACATAGACTTAAACCGTCATTTGTGGGTACTCTTTCACATTAATATTAGAACTGATACACTCATCCAGGAAATATTTATTGGGACCCCCTGTGTGACATTTCTGACATTCATTCTAAAATTAAACTAGTTTTCTTTGTCCTAAAAATGTGTTAATGATGTGTTCTACCAAATGGCCTTTCAAATAGCTAATTAACTCAAAGAAGACATGAGGCTTTAAAAAAAAAAAGAAAAAGAAAGAAGAGGGAAAGAGGGAGAAAAAGAGAAAAGGAGGGAGGGAGGGAGGGAGGGAGGAGGGAGGGAGGGAGGGAGGGAGGGAGAGGGAAGGGAGGCAGTGGATTCTGAAAAGGAGAAAGTCAGTCCTGGATGGTGGGGAAGGCCAGCCCCCTGAGCTGGGTGGCATCTCTGATCCTGGTAAAGGCTGGGCTACCATGGCTCGTGTGGCATGGCCACAGGGCAGAGTGCAGCACTGGGATCACAAACCCGGGCGCAATCTCTGTGGAAACCCCACTGCACACACATCAGTTCCAAACCCATCTGAACTTGAGGCCCTCACCTGCAGAAAGGGGTCAGGCAAAAGCTCTCAGAGAGCATCAGAGCAAATCAGGGATGTGTATGGATTTCCACAAGTTATTAAATTAAATGACTAGGTAATTACCGTCACCGAATCCCTGCAAGTATCAGCAGTCAGCGGCGGTGCCGGCCTCCGCGGGAGGGAGGAGCAGATGGGTTATAATGAATGATCTCAAACAATCACTATAAGCACGTCTGCCTTTCTGCACTCCCCTCACGGAAAGGAGAAAAGAGGAGATTCGTGGAGGGGACTTTCTTTCTCCCTCGCTCCAGAATGAGGAGTTTCAACCAAGACAAAAACAAATAAAAAACTCGTCCTTTCTTTTCCTCCCTTACATTGCACTTGTCCATACGGGGGGTGGGGGGGGGGGGGGGTAACATCATGTCAGTATTTCCTCTTTAAAAGCACTAAAAAGACAAAGCTGTCAAAATGAGACCACCACATGATGTCACCCATGCCTCTTAAAAAGTTTTAGGCTTGGGTGTGAAGAAGGATGGATGACAACTCAATGTTATTCTCGAACTTTTTGAAAATCAAGTAAAACAGGAAGTGATGGTTATTTCACAGCCATAACAGCCTACATATGAAGTCAATTACTCAAAAGTCTGGAGACTTTTTAAAGCGCTTCAGCAGTTCTTGATTACAGCAACTGACAGCGGCATGCAATAAACTACAACAATGGCAACTGACACAGATTACATTTTGATCAGTTCCTACCATTCAGGACTCATTTGTTACTGAGCTTGTCAGACAAGCCACAGGTACATTCGAGAAATCAAATTAGGCACCCTGATTAAAGGTGCAATCCTTTATAACTGGGGCTAAATAATTCTGTTCTAAAGGCTTGCCAACCAATTACTTCAGTAACTGAATATTCTCTCTCTCATTACATCAATTATTTAAATCTCATTTTAACATACAAGTCAGATAACATATTCAATCAACTTGCTCCCAGAAAATCACCATTTTTAAATCCTTCTGAAGGAAAGGCTTCTAAATGAAATCTTTTATTTTCAGCTTTCTACCAAATTATCATTCTATATTTTGAGAATCTTATTTTTTTCAACGAGAAAAAAAAAAGCCATCCTTTGAATTCATGGACTAAAACGTAGCCGCCACCTCAGGAGCTAATAACTACATTGTGTCTATGGTACTGATCCTCTCTTAAATGTTACTGTTTTCAAATAACTCAATCATCATAGCAGTTTTTTTACAATCAGTGGATGCACTGGGACTAGATAAATGTGTTAATAACTTATTTGGGATTCAAACTTAAAATGCATTGCACTGTTACATGAGAATATATGTCCTATTGTAAATAAGGTAAACATTTTGCTTCCTTTCTGACCAAGGGAACCACCTGGTGGATTACTTAAAAATTTAAATTAACAAGCACAGATCCAAACAGTTGGCTTTTTATTTGGATTATGTTTCATAATTTTATAACTAACCAGTGGTCATTTTTTTGAAACAGGAAATTTCCAGCCCAACCTAAATGTAAGTGTTGGCACTCACTGGGGTCTCATTTGAAAGTACTTATGAAGCATAGTGGTTGAGTGAATTCTGAAAATGAATTTTTTTTCAGCTATTAGTTTACTTTTTCACCAATCTATGTGGAAAAGTTGTTCTACAATGTAAAGAAGCTAATTTTTTAAGTAAAACACTTCTAAATTAGTTTTACTTGTTTTCTATGGTTCTCTGTCTAAATTTAAAAGCATTCAATCTTTTTTTTGCAAATTCTATTTTTGTAGAAATAACCACCACATTCACCAGCACACACAAGCTACTATCACCTTTTCTCACAAGTTTCCCCCTGCTCTGGTATTTTCATTCCAAGTGGGGAAAAAGGCAGAACATGTGAAATTCTAACTCTTCTCAGTTCTAAACTACCCATAACTATTGTAATTAATCTGTTATATTCTCACCCCACTTACTAAAAAAATGACTCACCCAAAGACACCTCATCTGATACTTCTCCCTGACTTTCCCAACTGCTCTCTCTAAAAATCAAACCAACAAAAAACCCAAAACTTTTTTTGAGACCAAGTGCGCCCTCTGTTGGAGCCAAAGGGAAGGAAAGGAAAATCATCTGTGAAGGGAAGGAAGTCACCTGAACATTTTCTCTTGGGAACTTAAGAATTTTTGTCCAGGGAAAACTAGGGGGCCGCTGGGAATCCAGCAGACCACTACCCTCTGTGCCCAGGCCTGGAAGGGTACTACTGACTTTCCATTGTCAAATGCCATTAGTATTTCACATTGGCAGTCAGACAGGAGAGAAGGGGTGGAGAGAAGGGGGAAGGGGAGGGGGGAGGGCAGGAGGAGAGGAGGAGGAGAAGAAAGAATAATAGAAAGATTTTTTTCTCTTTTAATCTTAAATATGAAGGGTGGAAACATACGGAAAATGGGAACAAGTGAAGAAAACTTGCAAGATTTGAGCAGGCATCCTTTCTTTCGAAATCATCCAAACTTTTACATGTGAGTATTAAGGAATACTCAAAATATATTAAACAGTACAAAAAAATGTATGTAAAAATGGCAATAATAGAAAAATAATACCAAAGTAAGAATTCCTTTCCAAGAACTAGAAAATTAAGTAAATCAAAGTTCTTCTTAAAAAGTATAAGATGACTTGGAACTTTTTCTCAGATACTTAAAAATTATATCATTTTTCATCTGTACAAAGAAAAATGCATTACAAACAAAAGGTGCTTTGAAAAATTCAAATTTGAAATAAATATTACCTGGAGGAATAGTAATATTAAAAACTAAGTGCACAGTACTACAAATGAGCAAACTTATCAGAATTAATTATCTAGAGAGGGAGGAAACATTGATTGGTTTAAAAGTGCAAAGTTAAACATCTGGCAGACTCAGCCAATTTTTTTTCACTAAGATATATAATCTTAAAATAATGTATAGAGATGGGGAAGTTGGAGAGAAAGAATGTCTATGAAATAGTTCTATACACGGCTATTCGGAAACTCTAAAATCCTTTTTTTTTGGAAGAAGTATAAATTATTTGAATTTGAACACTTGCTGAATCAGAATGAAAGTAAAGACATATCTTAAAGAAACTGTAAATTTATTAGGAAAATGGGTAAATCTATTTTGTTAAGAGCTAAAGTTTGAGTTGGTGAGAAAGTAATAATAAAATAATATTAATGCTAATAAAAATCCAAAATTTGTGACTGACAATCTTAAACTTATACCAGGAATTATTTATAGATTAAATAAAATAATTTATTTTACAGCCCCTTTAAATGAATTAATACTTAATACAAAACGAACAAGCCAGCACCTTTCCCTCACATCAATGTTCTAACTTCCTCTGTTTGCAGAATACCACTGAAAACACAGTCTTTCCTTTGCCAGCAACATAAATGAGGCTGTCACACTTGGGTCCTGGACTTCTCTGTTCTGAGTCTCACGGAAAGCAAAAACAGTTTTCCAGGTCATGAGATTTTGAGGGCTTCGATTATTTTTAAAACACCTTGCAAGTTAAGGACTGTCAATGAGACATTTCCCAGGAGCAGAGGAAAGAAACTACCCTTGGAGTTCAAGGATACAAATCACGTGGGATTTTGTGAGACTAAAAACAAATGTACAAATTTGGGGGCAATTTAACACTTCGGGGTGGCCACAGAGACACCCTGTTGGAACTGACCCTGAATATGAACAGGAGATAATAAAAATAGTGGCAGGATCCTTAAGACCAACTGACTGCCACAGTGTGTGCCTGTCAGCCAAACCCCCCCCCCCCTTCTGAGAGCAACAGCCTTCCAGTTCTAATCATCATAACACCATCTTGGAAATGAGAAAAGTGTTTCTAATTTTAAAATGAACTAAAAGCAGATGCTATAGTCCCATTAAACTCTTCCAGCTGCTACTGAACCACTGGCAACCTGAGCCTATTTAATTTGGAGACCGCTAATAGCAAAAGGGAAAATCTGACTGCCAAAATGGCAACCCAAGTTAAACCAGAGAGGCAGAAAATAAAGCAGCTCATGGGAGTGGATGTATTCTAATGAGGTCTCCAACTGATGATGGGAAACTTCTACCTGTGGTTAATAGCTTAAAAAAAATAAAAGGTTGTTGCTTATTAAATCCTTAATTCCAATACAGCCAAACAAGCAATCCTATCTGTGACATCTCAATTGATGGTTTTATTTATCCTGGTTTCTGCTTCCTAAAAATGAGTCTTTGCTACAGTGCTTTAAGATGCAGACAGGTTTTAAATGCATCGATGGTACGCCTGAGGGCACTGTGAATGTTGATTAATTAAGGTGAGATATCACATTAATTAATATTTAGCAAGGTCCTAATGACACGCAGGCCCTCAAGCTAGATGAGCTAGTATCACTCCTCCAGAGGCAGTCTGCTCTGGGGTGGGAGGAGAAGCGGGCATCTTACAGGTGGCACTGCACTGGCAGCCGTGTGCAATGGAAAAGCGCTTTGTCATCCCAATAACGTCTGGGGTGATGAAATGCATTCACTTTCTGGCTTCCTTTGGTCTGTGATGCCAAAGAACACTGTGTTATCAGCACAGATGGGGCGTGCATGGTTCTGGAGGAGAGCCTGGTGCAAACTACAAACAAGTCCCTGTGAATACCAACGGACCCCTGAGAACCAGACTCTTGCTGTCAAGTGACAGTTTGGGAAGCTCCATAAAAATCAGCACCTCCCCGTGGTCTTGTCCAATCACATGGACTGTCAGGACTCTCGACAGCCAATTTGGAAGCCACACAGAGGCCTGGCTGCTACTTTCCTGTGTGATGTGGAAACGTAATGCTTTTCTTTTCTTGCATTTTTTAGTAAGTCAAGGGGAAGAGGGTAATCTGTGCTGATGCAAACACTAATCTACCTCTCAGAGACAACTGGGAGAAAACTAAGCTAGGCAGCAGAAGAGAATGGATTCGCAAGTATGCTGGACGTGACTATGAAACATTAATTCATGACGTCAATGAACATAAACAAATCATGCATGGAAAATGATTAGAAAAGAGGCATACCCATTAACATACTGAGAAGTCTCTGGACCTTTGAACTCACCCCCACAACTCTGTACAATCCTTGGTCATTTATACCTATTGGAAGAGACAAAACATTAACAAAATACGAGACTGTCATGTTTTAAAATCTGTCAACAAACAGTTGCTTTCAGAAATCTTTGCTAACTCACACTAACAGCATTCCTGTTGAGTATAAAAATAACGTTTGACAAAAGCAAGTGTTTACTAACTTGTTTAGCAGCTTGGTATTCATGAGTTATGGTTGGAAAATCATGTCATAAACAATGTTCCATGTGGACAAAATGTAATGAATTCATGTCAATGAAATTAGTTAAGCAGTATTCATGTATACCAATATAGTATAAAATACACAACTTTAATGTTTATTATGTGTACTTATTCTTGACATTTTCTTCTTTAAAACTTCAGCCTTTTATAAGTAATATGGTGCTGCCTCGGCCACTGTGGCTCATTTGGTTGAGAGTCGTCCTGTGCACAAGATGGCTGGCTCCATCCAGGTCGGGCCCAGACCCAGAGTTTCAGGCTCGAACCCCAGTAGGGAGCGAGCAGGAGGCAGCCAATTGATATTTCTCTCTCATTGATGTTTCTATCGTTCCCTCTTCCTTCCTCTCTCTCTAAAATCAATTAAAAAACCTAAAAACTTTTAAATATATCCTATCTAATAAAAAGAGTAATATGCAAATTAACCATCACTTGGCAATAAAGATGGCAGAACCTTCAGCCAATAAGGAGGGGATATGCAAATTGACACGACAAAGAAGGTGGCACCAGCTGCAGCCATGGAGAGCGGATGGGAGGCGGAGGCTTGGCTTCCTTGGTCGTCCCAGCCGGCTCGTGGCCGCCGCCCAGACAAAGCCATAGTGGCAGGGCTGAGGCAGAGGCAGTTAAGGACGATCAGGCCAGGAGGGGAGGGCAGTTGGGGGTGATCAGGCCAACAGTGGGAGAAGTTGGGGGTGAGCAGGCTGACAGGGGGGGACAGGTGGGGGCAAGCAGGCCAGTGATGGAGGGGGGGCAGTTGAGGGCAATCAGGCCAGCAGGGGGGGCAGTGGGGGCAAGCAGGCCGGCAGTGGGGGGCAGTTGGGCATGATCAGGCCAGCAGGAGGAGTAGTTTTGGGCAAGCATGCCGGGGCGGGGGGTGGGGGGGGGCCGCAGCTGGGGGCGAGCAGGCTGGTGGGGGGGGGGGGGGAGTTGGGGCTGAGCAGGTCAGGGGTGGGGCAGTAGGGGGCAAGCAGGCTGGCAGGGGAGGCAGTTGGGGGTGAGAATGTTGGTGGAGGGGCAGTTGGGGGTGAGCAGGCTGGCAGGTAGAGTGGAGAGTGGTTAGGGGTGATCAGGCAGGCAGGTGAGCGGTTAGGAGCCAGCGGTCCTGGATTGCAAGAGGGATGTCTGACTGCCTGTGGGATCGGGCCTAAACTGGCAGTCAGACATCCCCTGAGGGTTCTCAGATTGGAGAGGGTGCAAGCCGGGTTGAGGGACACCCTCGCCCCTGCACAAATTTCGTGCACTGGGCCACTAGTAAAAAAATAAAAATAATAAAGTGTCGATTAATACTCAGCAAAAAATCACTGGTTGGATGATTCTTGAAGACCATAGATACGCATTCAAAACTGCGGCAGAGCTGTTTTTGTTGTTCAGAGCTGTTAAATGCACCGTCTGATGAGAAACTCTGAAATTTTAAATAAGCATCACTCAAACTCTACATCAAAACAAACCAAATCGCTGCATTTTCTCTCTGTAGAGAGGTACAAGCAAAGTATCCCTGAGTACAGCAGGCATGAAAGAAAAGCAAGAAAAGTTACTGTCAAACATTAAGTATGTTGAACACATGACCTTGTTCTGATACTGAGTTGAATAAACCAATTTTAAAAGGACTTTTGGAGGCAATCAGGAAACTGTGAGTGGCATTAAGGTTATGTCAAAAATAGTTTATATTTTTTAAGTTAGATACTGAAAGGAGTGACCTGTGTTAGATTCACTTTAAGAAGGGGAAAGGGATAGATAAAGCAATTGCAGCAAAATCCTGGTAATCACCGAGTCTGAGTGACAACAAAAATGGGAGTTCATTGCACCACTTTCTCTACTCTTTTTATGCTTAAAAACTTTCATCAGAAAATAATGACTTCCAGAACATGTGACTTATTTATTTCTACAAAGAGTTGTAGATTTCTGCCTATGTGTTTACTTTCTGCACTATGCATGTTGAACACAACGGGCTGACGGGCTGACGAGGAGATGATGCCTCTAATCTCCAAAGTTTTCAAAACAGAAAAAAACACCAAACAGGCCATGAAATTTGCCCATGGGAGTATACTTTTTTTTTTCTTTATTAAGGTATTACATATGTGTCCTTATCCCCCCATTGCCCACCACCACCCCCGCTCATGCCCTCACCCCCCCCCCCATTTTCTGTGTCCATTGGTTAGGCTTATATGCATGCATACAAGTCCTTTGGTTGATCTGTCCCCCTTCCCCCACCCTCCCCCACCTTCCCTCTGAGGTTTGACAGTCTGATCGATGCTTCTCTGTCTCTGGATCTGTTTTTGTTCATCAGTTTATGTTGTTCATTCCACAAATGAGTGAGATTATGTGATATTTATCTTTCTCTAACTGAATTACTTCACTTAGCATAATGCTCTCCAGGTCCATCCATGCTGTTGTGAATGGTAGGAGTTCCTTCCTTCTTACTAGTACAGCAGTGTAGTATTCCACTGTGTAGATGCACCAGTTTTTTAATCCACTCATCTACTGATGGGCACTTAGGCTGTTTCCAAATCTTAGCTATTGTAAATCGTGCTGCTATGAACATAGGGGTGCATATATCCTTTCTGATTGGTGTTTCTGATTTCTCGGGATATATTCCTAGGAGTGGGATCACTGGGTCAAATGGAAGTTCCATTTTTAGTTTTTTGAGGAAACCCCATACAGTTCTCCACAGTGGCTGCACCAGTCTGCATTCCAACCAGCAGTGCACGAGGGTTCCTTTTTCTCTGCAACCTTGCCAGCACTTATCATTTATTGATTTCTTGATGATAGCCATTCTGACAGGTGTGAGATGGTACATTATTGTCATTTTGATTTGCATTTCTCAGATGATTAGTGACTTTGAACATGTTTTCATATGTCTCTTGGCCTTCTGTTTTTTCAAAAAGTATCTATCTAGGTCCGTTGCTCATTTTTTGATGGGATTGTTTATTTTCCTTCTGTTAAGTTGTATGAGTTCCTAAATATATTTTATTGATTTCAGAGAGGAAGAGAGAGATATAAACATCAATTATGAGAGAACATCATTGATTGGCTGCCTCCTGCACGTCCCTACTGGGGATCGAGCCTGCAACCCGGGCATGTGCCCTTGACTGGAATCGAACCCAGGACCCTTCAGTCCGCAGGCCGACACTCTATCCACTGAGCCAAACCAGCTAGGGCCATACTTGCTTTTTGTCTCCCTGCCTGGGGTGATGAAAAATAAATACTAGACAGAGTCTAAAGAACTGGATTCAAATCACAGCTCAGTCACTCCTAAGCTGAGAACTTGGGCAAGATGCGAAAGCTCCCAGCCTGGATGCTGCCTCTGAGATCACAGACAGTAGCCTACACCCTGTGTTGTGATGCGAGGGAAAAGAGGTGATGCCCACACGTGTTCTCTCAATTACTCAACAGAGCCAAGAACCTGAGAGCAAAGGCCACCCCTTCTGTCTAGACAAGTCTATTCAGAACGCTAAAGAACCTAAGTAGCAGAGACGCACCTTCCTCATGGGGAATGCTCACCAACTACAGGGAGGAGGAAAATGCAAGTCAGTTCTGCAAGGAATTGAAAAAAAGAAGGAAAGAAATTTGTCAACTCAGAGTGTGAGCCTGCTGAGCTTCATTCCTTCCTCCTCCTGTAGTCCAGAAGGCCATGGCAGTTTAAAATACCAGAGGATTCCCACCTCCCCTCCACCCAATACTACTCTATTTGAGAGACCTAAAACAGTCTGACCTCATTGCCAGAAGCCAAAAGAGCAAGCCATATTCTACAGTCAAATAAACGTGCCTGAAATACATGGAAAAATTAAATAAAAATGTTACTTCAGCAATAACAATCACTTTGTACTGGCAATTACTATCAGATAATTGATCAAGTTCAAATTCATCAGCCTGCGAGAAGTAGAGTTAATTGCTAATGCGTAATAAAAAGGTGCAAGGGGTAATTAATGCTACTCAGCACAGCTTTTATTTTTTTTTAATGAAATTTAAATAAACTTTGTACAAAAGCAGCTAGGAAGTAGCATGTAAAACACATACACTCAAGTTGTGTAAGATTTTCTGTTGCATTGTTCTTAGATGCTATGGACTATGGAAACTGGAGCATGCTTTATATCTACAAACACATCACACAAAAAATATTAATAAAGACTTTAAGGAATACAAACCACTCAATATGCCAAGTCATGTCAGTGGGTTTAGCCTATTTTCTCAGCTTCTCTCAAATTTCCCTCTTTCAGCCAAAGGGATCACTATTTGTAATCACCAAGTATTAGGATTTTGAATTTTTTTTTTTATTTCCTCCCTGTCACTTTCCAAATTCAACAGGTCAGCGTCTGCATTTTCTTCAAACTCAGAGTAATCTCTGTTTCTTGACAGTTTTAAATGTGGTACACACACATTTTTTTAAGGCACCCTTAGAGGAAACACATATACCCATAATCCATTCGGAACATCATCTCTGTTTTTTTAACTTTTTATTTTCCAAACCTCTGATTATCTAAGTTCTCTTCCATCCCTATTTAAGAGTAAGCCATCAATACAGTCTAAACTCCTCAGATGAACAAGTATGTAAGGCATAAACACCGATTATGGCCCCCACGTCACCTACCCAACATGTACTGTGTGGAGTATTCGCTTTAATCAGAGCAGACCACTGACTGGCCCACAATAACCAAATGCATTCCCTTCTCCACATCCACGTTCAAGTGGCAGTCTCCTCCCTTCTCCTCATAAATTACTCATCTGTCAAATATTATTTATAAAATATGTGGCAGGTGCGAGTCTAGCTGCCAAGGATTCAACAGTGAGCAAAA